CTACTACTCTCTCTCTCTCTCTCTCTCTCTCTCTCTCTCTCTCTCCTCCCCAATTGACCACAAGCCTACTGTTTTCAATCTCTCTCTCTCTGAAGGACGGTGATGATGAGGAAATGGGACGTAGCTTGGAGAAATACTTGGGGGATTACCTTTTCCAGGTTCTATATTTAGGTTGCCTTTTATGATTTTTAGAACCAGGGGTTCTCTTTGATTAATTTCTATCTCATAATTCATACTATAGATTCTCCAGTGGATTTGTGTCTCTAAAAGGGTTCAATAGTTGGAAGAACTACAAATTGCTAGCTCTATCCGTCATATGTTCTTTTTTATTAATTTTTTTTTCGAAATCTCGTGCACGGTTTATGTCCATTTCAACATTCTTTTCTAGATTCTTTTGTATTTATTCCGTATTTTATACATTTACACTTTTGCTTTTCTGAGCTTTGAGGATTTTCTAAGGGATTTTGTCCTTTATTGTGGTTCGACATTGAGATTGGTTTTTTCTGTCATTTAATCCCTTCTTCTGGAATTTCCAACGGTCCTGCTCATAGCATGTCTTAACTCACCACTCACTGTTAGATTCTTTCTTTTGCATTTATTCTGCATTTCATATTTTTGTGCACTTTTCCATTTTTGCATTAAAACTCACCCTTGTGATCCATGTTTGCACCGAAGATTTTTATTACCCACGGTGTGCATAACATGTACATTTCCTATTCCATGGGAGGTGGTGTTTCTCGTGGAAATTCACCACTCATATATCTGCCTTGAATATTATCCATTTAGAACAACTAAATGAGAATAGATGAATGGGCAAGACTCACTTTTTTCCCTAACCCTTCTGTTGGGTGTCACTGAGAGAGAGTGTGTGTGTGCGCTCACGCTTTTGGAAGTGTCGTACTGACACCAAGTTGGACGTGCAACATTTGTGATTGAAAAGCAATTCATGCTATATATATATATATATATCTCTCTCTCTAAGCAATTCATGCCATCACTACTAGCTCTTTCTCTCTCTAAGCAATTCATGCCATCACTACTATCTCTCTCTCTCTCTCTCAGCAGTTCATGCCATCCCTACTAGCGTTCTCTCTCTCTCTCTCTATGTATCTTCCAAGTGTTGTACTGATACACTTGTGTAATCAGACACTAAGTTGGAAATGCAGCATTTTGCTCTCTCTCTCTCAATCAACATGCACAGCTGTAGTAAGGCACATCCTTTAGTGAAAGTTCCTATTAACACTATAAAGTGAACCTTGTCGTCTCATGCAATATGTTTAAGCGTAGCATACAAGTAGAGAGCATGGATACACATAATCATGCACAAGAAGCACAAAGAAACACTGAGAATCGATAGAAGAATGAATGGCATATACCAAACTAATAGCTCAACTCTTACCCTGTGGTCAGCATTCCATCTATACATGGAAGGCAAAAAAAAGGAGAAAAAGACGTTTTCATGGCAGCAATGGCAAAATTCACCGCCAAGGAATTTTTGGTGACTCCAAAAAAGAGTACTCTTCATCTTATCAGAAGCTTAATCATGGAGGATGGCAGGACTCCAGAACCTGGCAGATGGGAATCCTAGTCGCCAACTGGTGCATCAGAGAGAAGCATCTTCAATGTCTCATAGGTCATGAACACAATACCGACACTCGGTACGACCTTGTAATATTCAGGCAATATTCCTCTATACAATCCTCGCAAGCCTTCTGTCCGGATTATTTGACCAAAGGTGCCAAATAGGCCAGTTTTATAGACACGGGCTCGACCCCCTGCCCCTTCCAATTGCATCCTCCGCCTCACAAGATCCAGAGGAAATGTTACTGCAAGAGAGTTTTTATGGTAAGAATTCCCATGCTTCACAGAGACTATTAATAGGCTACATGCCTCAAAGGGTCCACCACCACCACTAGAGAAATTGGAAAACTCACTAGTTTTCTGAAGAACTCAGCATCCAAAATATATCACACTAGATCATGTCTTCATGTCACTCTTGTATCTGGATTTCACTCTCATATTATTAACATACTATTTTAGGTATGTCTCTCTCATATTAATACCATAGGAACTCACTTATGGATGGGTTAGATAGTATTTGAGCCTTAGATCATGAGCCCCCTCCTTGGGCTCTGAGAGAGTAGGGAGCAGTTTCAATCTAATCTAATGCAATGTCATTTCTCAAAAAGAAACAGATGCAAAAGATCCAAGGATTTTGATCAGTACCTGTTGAAGATGCAATTCCCGAAAGACTGCCACAGGCTAAGCTAACAAGCGTTGGAGAATTATCCGGTCTGATATTAAAAAATCATAAGCATCAGCAGTAAGCACTTATGATAACTATCCTCAAACAAATCTTCCAATTCATTTACTGAGGAAAAATCAATATTCAAATTTAGCTAATTTCGACAGCAGGAAGAGAGTTATACCTTTGCAATTGCCAATGAGATCTCAGCGTCTCATAAACACAGAAGCTAATTGCTATATTTGGTGCAACCCCCTGCATCCCAAGAGCTTGTCATTGTCTAGACATTTTTCTTTCTTTTTTTTGTTTGTTTATTTTGTTAACAATTATCATATTATGGAAATGCTTTATGACACTTCACAAAGACAGATACTGCCTTTAGAAGTGTGTGTTTCTTCTTCTTTTTTTTAACATAGACCTTACAAGAGTTTATTTAAAAATATAAAAAAAGATATATCATTTACAGGATCCAGGCAAGAAAGGGAAAGTGCACTGTGATCAATCAAATTTTGAACAACTTTTCAAGAAGAAAACGTACCAAAAGTGTAGCACCCATGCCTTTATACAACCCTCTAATGCCCTCATCTCTGCAAATGGTATAAAGAGCATGTGAAATGCCTCTGTAGTAGATAACGTTTGTCTGCAAAACCAAATTAAATGAGCTTAGATATGTATTTACATAGCCCAAGACTACCGGTCGTGTACCATGGGAAAAAAGTCAGGCTACCGAAAGTATCAACACATTGAAGGAAAGCCTTAAGACTACAGATTCATGGAGCCAAGACAAGGCTATGCTAAATGGAGAAGTACCATCTCATGAATAAATCATGTTAACAAGCGAATCTAAGAATTATACAGTTCTCAAGTAGTCCATAATAAAACAGTTAATACCAAGTTAATGCTTAACAGAGTACTGCCAGTTCAAAAAAAGTATATTACTCGAACTTTCAGAGAATTATTCACAATTTCATAGAATTAGCAATAACCAAGCATAGCAATTCCCCTTGCAAACGTGAAGACAAGCATCTTAAGTTCAGGAAAATAGAGTTTAGCATCCCCTCAAGCACTATGAAACAGTGAGAAACAGGGGAGATCTTCGTATGTTCAGCTATGAAAATTTATATAAAACTCCTCATGCTTTGAAAACAAAGCATCCTCCAGAGGGATAAAATGATCCCAAACAATCAGCAAAGGCATATAACTAAAGAAAGAAACTGCTAAAGCTAAGGTTAAGCAAATTTGCACGCGAATTCTTGAAAATAAAAAATACTGATATTTCCAATACCAAGCCCCATAGCCAAGATCGTTCTAGTGATGATTTCGGGTTTATTTAAGGGATAAGGATATGTTAACAAATTAATTTTGCAATATTTCATGTTATGTTTATTCTCTTCCTAAAAACTAAAATATTTAGTAAAAATGAACACTCAACAAACTGCTTTTTTTACTATTATTATTGAGTTAATTGTTGTATTGATAGAAGGAATTGGGAGTACAAAATTGGACTGCCTGGGAAAACCAGGGTTTATATACAGCAAAACAATGGCTACCCTCTGCGAGGGAACACTATACAAAAATGGCCCTAGAGAGAGGGTAAAGAAAAGAAGACAGAAAAATGCAAGGGGGATAGGAATCCCCAAAGGAGTTCTGAAAGAGTTTGCAGAAAATGCTCAGCCTATAGCATCTGAAGCACGCCCCTTGGCAAGAGTCAGAGTTGCTGTCACGGTAAATGTGTCTCCAAGTTATCGTGAGTCCTCTGCTCATGTGAGATATCTCATCAAAAATATGGATCAGGGGCCAGGGGCAACTGGCCAAACCAGAAGCCCAGGAAATAACATTGTTGGAGTCCCCTTTTACTGTCAGTGATTGACCCCAAAAGTTGTCAAACAATTTGAGACCCTCAAGCAGGGCAGTTGCTTCTGCAGTTTGGGAGTCTAAATGGCCTATGAACTTCGAGAAGGAAGCCAGGGTCGACCCTTCATGGTCTCTGAAGAGGCCTCCGATGCCTGCGGGCCCTGAATTGCTTAAGAGAGCAACCATCGAAATTAAGTTTTAGTCAGCCAGGCTCGGGAAATCTCCACAAAGAGGCTTGGGGGATGCTTTGGTTGGATATAAAGAGAAAATCATGCCAATGTAAGTGGAATGCCGAAGGAGGAAAGCCTTTGAACCGCTTGTGATTAGTACCCCAGCAGATAACCGCAGATTTGATCCTATCGAGCAAGGCAGCAGTGGTGGAATACTGTCCACGAAATATACGATTGTTACATTCTTTCCAGATCTCCCATAGGAGCGCTGCAATGGAAGCCTTCCACATTAGAATGCATGAAGAGGCCCAGGGATAGGGGTGAGAAAGGAAAAGAGGGGCATGTGGCCATTGGAATTGTTGAAGTAAAGCACCCCACAAGGAATGGGCTACAGGGCAGTGGATAAAACATGGAGGTTTGTTTCCTCAGCTTCCCAGCACATTGCACACCGATTGGGTAAGGACATGCCTCTCTTTTGTAGTTGGTCAATCGTTAATTCTCTCTGTGAAAGTGCAATCCAGTAATATAGACATTGGGGGGAGCGAAGGAAGTCCCGGCTTAGCCACAATGGAAGGAGGGGCATGAGGAAAGGTGGGTGGTTTGATGAGTTTTCGGTAGAATGAGGCAACTGTGAATATCCCCGAAGGGGAAGGGCACCATATTATCTTGTCTTTACCAGAGGAAGGAAAAAGGAGCGGACAAGAGTTCAAAGGTCTAGGAATTCCTGAAACTTTAGGGCAGATGGTGGTCTACGAAGGTTGGGGCTCCAACTTCTAACTGAACCCTGTAAAGGGAAGTGGTCCTCAACAATGGCTTGCTGATGGAGAGCAAGGAAGAAAAAGGCAGGAAAGAGATCTTTCAAAGAGTTTCGTTGAGCCAGGGGTCCACCCAGAATCTGATTCTTGATCCCCCCCTGGGATAGAATCTGATGTAACCTGAAGAGTTTGAGGACAATGAGAAGGGATTTCCTCATACCAGAGGCTCTGCCGTTAGGCCGACATTCCAGTAGCCAGGAATCTTGGACAAGGTGATATTTATGGGTCATGACTTGCTTCCACAGATGACACTCTTAAGTGGCAAAGTGCCGCCACTATTTACCCAGTAGAGATAAGTTTGTTCTTCTAAGGCTACGGATCCCTAGACCTCCTTGGTGACGAGGTTGCAAATTTTGCCCCAGGAGAAAAAATGAAATCTAAGCCTATTGTCGTCACCAGCCCACAAGAATTTGCACACAAGTTGTTTGAAGCGAGGGCTAATGGACACCATCATTTGGAAGAGAGACACATTGTAGATAGATACATATTGGAAAGGGTAGCCTTGATTTGGGTAGCTCTGCCTGCTGGGGACAGGAAACAGCCCTTCCATGCAGTGAAGTTTCTGTCAAATTTGTCTATGATATGTGCCCAAAGACTCGTCTTAGGTTTCCAAGGCAGAAAGGGTCCCCCTTGCGGAGACGTCTCGCAGTAGGGAAGAGAGATCCATTGATGAGGACCAAAAAGTGAGGTGTTGAAATGCACACACGAATCCATTTCCTCCACCGGTTGCCAAAGCCCATACGAAGCAAAGTGTTATTAAGGAAAGTCCAGTCTACATGATCGTAGGCCTTCTCCCAATTAAGTTTAACAACCAATCCTGGCAATTTGGATAGATGCCTGAATGAATACCTTAATGGTCTATGAAGGCATCATCCAAAATTTGTCGGCCTTTGACAAAAGCACCTTGCTGGGGGAAGATTACCAAGCCTAACACCTCTCGGAGGCGAGAGGCCAGCACTTTTGAAAGGAGCTTATAGGTGCTATTGATGAGACTGATAGGACGAACTCCTTCAGTTCTTCTGCCCCTTCTACCTTGGGGATCAATGCTATAAAAGAGGTATTGAGAGCTTTATGGAGATTTCCCCTCTCATGGAATCCATGAAAGAAGGCCAGAAGGTCCTTTCGAATGGACGTCCAGAAATGGTTGAAGAAGGCTATTGGGAAGCCAAGGGAATGGTCTTAACCCAAATCATGAGTGGCCTTAATGATTTCTTCTTCCTGGCTTAAACAAACTGTTTTTTCTAGAATGTTTTGTTCTTTCTTTTTATTTCTGATCTTCGATGATATTAATCAAATTTTCACAGGCATGAAAACCACTATCTGAAACTACAAGAGATATGAGATTGAATTTCACATATAATGAAAACTTAAAATTTACCCATCTGTTTATCATTATTCCCCATATGGAAAATTGTTTCTTTCCAAGACACCTAATTACATGACACACCTTTTAGAATTATTTTGACATTTTCTGCCAAGAAAAAAAAAAAGTAAAAATATAAAATTAAGTATTTCTAGACTTTTCACCTTATTTGGAGTGTTTTGTCTTTCCTGATATATCTAATCCTATCTATAATTATCACATTTTCCCATTAAACCCTATCAAAAATTAAAATGAATATATAATTGAATTTTACATTTTATCAAAATTTACTGAACTGTAAATTATTAGTCAATCTGAGGAAATTTTGTCTAGTCCAGATGCTTACACATTAATCACACGTACATGAAACACCATGTAGAGTGAGGGAAGCTAAACCTCCTACCCTTACACCTCAAAATACCTTACAAGAAAATCAAGATCCTTAAATTGCAGGAGATATCTCAGCTGCACACAAATTAACACAGTTTGCAACAGAATGATAATAATTTGAAATAATGGAAAGACATACCATGAGAATATGGAATAAGGGGCAACCACTGTCAGTTCCAGTTGGGAGACACTGGAAATTAGAAGCGACCCTTGCCAAGATATTCACCCCATCGGGAACAGATGTGGATGGCCCTTAGGATTATAGTATGCTTTCCCAAGACAAATTTGCCAACAAAATACCACAATCACTAAAATAGAAAAGAAATCCAACTAATGAGAGAGGGAGATCTGCATATTACCTGTGCTGCCAGTCGTGTCCTGACAAGGTCTAAAGGGTATGTGATTGATGCAGCAGTTATACCTGCGGAACCTCCACCTATCAACCTTATACCAAGGTCGGCGCTCATGTTCTCTCCATGCCTATCCAATCCAGGAAGTGATTGTAAAAACTGCAAAAGAAGTTTCTAAAACAATGAATAGGGAACCAAGAACCACACACATTTTCAATTCAAAAGCAGATCTTGTGAAACACTTACAGTCTTATAACGTTCATATGCATAAAAGCTAATCGAGGAATATGGAAGCCGATGAGCAATTGTGACCAAATTCCCTTTCCAAAATGCACGAAACCCTTCTTCACAAACAATGCGGGAAGCCTCCCGCCATATACTGGGCTTGCTTAAAGTGGCAACATCAGAGTGCATGCCTTGAACCTGTAAAGAAAAAGTAAGAATAAACAGCAACATATATAAGGGATGGTATCAGAAAACATTAAACACTTTTTATATAATATTCTAACATTTTCTTTTTTGAAATGTTATAGTATTTCTAATATTATCAATGACACTGCAAAAAATTATACTTTTAGATTTCAGGTATAATGTTTCTAACATTTCAGCAGAGGTGTTCTTCGTCTCATAAGTGCCCTTTTTATGGTTAAACAACTATCCTTCCCTTATACTCATCATGTTATTACTTTAGAATTTAAGGCATATAGTGAACATGCAGACCATAGTTCCTGGGATCGGGAGTGGAAACGGTACCGGGATTGGAATTGGGATAGCGATTGGAATCAGGATTGGGTTCGGGAGTGGGGGATTGTGAAATACTAAAAGATCCCTATAGTTGGAAGCGTCATCCGTACAATGTACAAGTTAGGGATCAAGATCCCCATATGTTAGGGATCGAGATTCCAACCTTTTGGAGACCTTGATCCGGACCTTTGGGATCTTGATCCTAACTTTTTGGGGGTCTTGTACCACTTTAAAGTTTATGATAATCTAGTGTTATATTTACTCTTTAACATAGGCATCTCCTCATTTATAGAAGGCAAGCAATGAAACTACATTAAAATCTAGTTGTACGGCTAGCTGGCTATAAATAAAAAAATAATCAGTTTGGTTGTTGTCTTGTTCTTTAAGATTGGGATCGAGATTCCTAACAGCATGAATCGGGATCCCTAATAGTGGTCGAGATCCCAAAATTTAGAAATCGAGATCCCTGAGAGATTCGTTTCAGAAGCGACAGAATTGAGATCCTAGAAGGGATTGCCTACCAAAGTAGGAGACCCCGGTAACTATTATGCAAACATGAAGAAAAGGAACAGAAAAGCAATCACATACAATAACATCGCGAAATGAACACAATGGCAAACTTGGCATTTTATCATAAAACATTACGCATGAGGCATGCAGCCACAGATAGCGTCAGTGAAACAGTGGGAAAATTACCACATAAATGATAGAAACATACATCATATAATTTAAGATATTGTCCCAGAACATAAAAAAGTCCGAAGTACACTCTATAGGGAAATTTATCAAACTACACTTGAGATTTGAACTACTAAACATTTTACCCATGTTTTATGTAATTTCAAATAGCCCAAAATATTTTGATTAAATTCTAATTAGCCCATTAAATGACACAACAAAATGGGTTTTCAAATTTATCAAAATGTACCCAAGGTAAGATATTAAATAGTTCAACTTTTAATGCATTTTGACAAGTTTCCCTAAATTAAACTATGATGACATTGGAAGTACAGTTCCATAAAGCATGGTCATTGAAACAATGTCTCAAAACCCATGTCACAAGTTGTAATCAACATAAAGAATAGGGGAAAAATTCTATACACCCCTAGGTGTAGGGAATTCATATATGCCACCCCTCTCCTAGCTGTCCGATCTGAATGGATGGCTGAGATGGCCCCAATCACAACGTCACACCTAAACAGTGTTTTATTTTAAGGATATGGGCCCTCTTGAAGACATTGAGGTATCCATTCCTGGCTTCTTCCTGTTCTTCGTTATTTTACAGTTAACACTTTTAAAACAAAAAAAACAGTGTTGTATTTTTAATTTCTTTCTAGAAATGATATTGACACCAAATTTGAGGCGTCCAATACTCACTTAAGCTCACACCTATGAAAAATATAAAAAATATATATTTCTAAAAAATACAATAACCAAATATCCCTAAAAGTTTTAGGGGTAGTGTGGTCATTTTATTCCTTAAAAAATATCTCTATTTTTTTGGGTGCATTCCATTGAGATAATGACACTTTCAGGGTATTTTGGTTATTTTATTTCTTCAAAAATACTTTTTATACTTTTTTATGTGTGGACCCATTGAGATGTTGACAATCACCAAATTTCATGTTCATAAGATTTTTGTAGAAATAAAATAAAAATAGAATACTCTGAAACGTCAGATCTAGATCAACCGGGTAGTGCCTCACTTGTGACATTATGGCTGAAGCTATCTCAGCCATCCATTCATATCCGGATGGCCAGGATAGAGAGGCATATATAAATTCCCTAAACCTAGTGGAGTATAGAAAGCTTTCCCTAAACCTAGTGGAGTATAGAAAGCTTTCCCTAAAAAATATGCCACTTAAACATGCAATCAAACATGCAATCATGGAGCAAGGTAGGAAAACAAAAGCAAGTGAAGAAGCCACATAATAGCAACAATGAAAGGATCATTTTTCATACAGACAAGAAGCTCCACGGAACAACTGGAAATTATGTTATCTGAGACCATCTTGAACAAATTGATGCTGAGAAACAGATCTGTGCACAGGCCAAAGCAGATAGGTGTTCCACGAATTAAACAAGAAAGATAGCTTTGATAAACATATCATAAGGACCCAGCAGGAACATGCAAAGGCAAGGTAGTCTGGTAGAAGAGCACAAAAAGTGAAGTAATCATCCAATTTGCAAACTGTTTTATCATGACAAAGCTATTAGGTTCAAAAACATGCACAAAGAGAGAGGGACGGATATTACCTTATAGAAGCATGGGCACACATAACAACTAATATTACAGAAGCATGGGCACACATAACAACTAATATTACAGAAAGCTATTATAAATGGAATCATATTTAAAAAACATAACTATATACTGAATTGAACAGAAGGTTAAATATATTGTAAAAATATAAACATATTGCATAGTGATTATACTTTTAAAGACCAAAAGTTTTTACATTGGATTGTATACCATGAGATCACACATTTCCAGGACAATGAGTCATACCCTCCCAAGCTACCAGATGTGAAAAGTGACAGCTAGAATGTGTAGTTTCGCAGCAATTTTGAATGGAGGAATACCAACTCCTAGTTGTCACTTTACACATCTGATGGGTAGTGAGAGCATGGTTTACTGTTTGATAAATGTAGTGCTTTCATTGTATACATTTCCTACATACAGGGTTCTACAGAACAATATTGCACACTAGTGCATAAAAACTCATTCCCAAGTTGAAAAACATTTGCTAGTCAATTTATCCATTGGGTAAGTTTTATATAATGAAACACTGGGGTTGTGATTGAGTTTTTGGCTGTAAATAACTTCTTGTGCTACTTTGACACGACAATGGCATTACTTGAGGTGGAAGGAATGTGGTTTTGAGTTGGTGACGACTTGCGTTCAAACCCCATCACTTTGTGTTATTATTTGTTTCTGTTTTCATTTTTAGACTCTTCACAGAAAATTGAAAACTCGCCTGAGTTTTTCTGAAATGATTGTTCAACTCTCCTAACTGACTCGGTTCTTCTCATAGATGCAGGGAGAATCATTGAGGGGTGGCAGTCCCCCGTCAAAATCTTGCTCTGGAGGTGAAGCCCTAGCAGAGCTCGCTTCCCCCATTGATGGATCTCAATCCCTGAGTCAAACTGATCTCAACCCTATGGAAAGGATCATCACTCCATTGAAAATGGGGGAGGGATGATAAGATATCTTTTCCCAAGGCAAGTTCCAAAAATTTTAAAATTTTGATCACGGTGTCTTCAATTTTGTGTTGATTTTTTGCTTCTGATGAGTGGCGACGTATCGACAATTTTTGTTTCCAGTTTTATGACTCTGATTTGAATTGGTATTGAAAACCGGCAAGCTGACTCAAAATTGCCAAAAGTCAGCTTGGCCCATAGGTAGTTCCCTATCTTGTTTCATAATTATCAAATCTTTGTGGGACTTCCAGGCTATATTGTTCTCATTGGATGTATTATACTGAGAGTGCCAAAAAAAATGGATCATAAATTTTTTTAATTTTAAAATATTAATTGAAAATAATATGTGTGTGTATCTATGTATATTATAAAGGGCACTCCCACATAGATATAGCACATATATCAAGCCATTCAAAGCCTCAGGCCACACCCTGAACAATGCTCCCAAGGTAGAAAGCTTCAGCCATGGATCAATCCCCTCCCAAGGTAGGAAGCTTCAGCCATGGGACGATCCCCAGCACTCGCTTCCGCTCCCACTCCTAGCAATTATGTTTCTTCCATTAGACAAGGAGGAACCACCCCCTCACGCCTATCATGCTCTTCCTACTTTTAATGTTCACAATTGTATTTCTATTGACTATGGAGTATAACATATGCAAACAATTTATTGGTCTATGTTAGACGAATCATTCTTTAAGTGATCCATGCAAAGCAACTTTCCAATAAAATGCAACAAATAGTTCTTTTACTGTATCACTAGATAATACACAATACTATCCATCAAACCTTGCAAAATTTCTAACTTACGAATTCCAGATTTACAACTCTTCAATACATAATCATATAAAGGCCGGTCACACCCTTAATAGTAATTCTCAATATTGCAATATGTTGAGTATTTTGGATGTTACAATGTGATATAATTCCAACAATTGACAACCACTTAAACTATTAACTAAGGTTGCACTCAGGAAAGGGTTATCATGAGGTAAATCCACCATTCCACAATTTCCTGAAACTGTTCAAAAGGGGCGCGCACTGCCCATGTTTGCCATGCCTTTTTCTTTTTAAAGTGAAGCTTGTCGTGGCCTTATGCTATCATCGAGATAGGCAAAACAACACTTTTGCGACATCTTTTAGAATAAGAATCAGCCCCAAACCCTCTTTCCATTTCGATTGTATGGAGTCAATATGAGAGCCAAACCTATTCCATATGTCACAAATGAAGCCTAACATATGAAGTTAACTCCTCATAATTTAAAATCCATTCTTGTCCTATTTGCCACAATTACATATCATAACTGGTTTGCAAAAAAATCAGTGT